CGTGCAGCCACTACTGCAGCCATGTGACATAATATGTTATTCGTAACCAGCAATACAAAACAAATGGTCTATTGTTGCCTTCTCAGCAGATCTGAGTGTTGGGGTAAAATCCCAAATAATAATGGTGGGTCTGGTGTCAAAATATTGAATGTGATCAAAGGTGAGAGAAAGTAATGTGGAAATCTGTCCCACAGGTAGGGGGAGGGTGTGGGATGAGGGTATATTGGGGTTTTTGGTGGTGGAGAATGGGCACTGGTGAAGGTACGAGTGTTTCATTGTAAGACCGAGACTTAAACCCTAAAGATTTGTAACTGCTCTCACGGTGATTCAATAAATAAATTATAAAAAATGAAATAAAAAAGTAAGGTGGAGGGCACTGGTGGAGGGATGGGTATTTGATCATTGTATAACAGAAACCCAAGCACAAAAATTTGTAAGTCTACAACTGTACCTCATAGTGTCTCACTAATAAAAATTTAAAAAAAAGTAAGGTGGATTCCATGCCCATTATTCATGTGTGCTTGGGTTGGAGTGATACCACAGCGGGTAGAGCGTTTGCTTTGCATGCGGCCAACCCGGGTTCAATTCCTCCGCCCCTCTTGGAGGGCCCGGCAAGCTACCGAGAGTATCCGCCTGCACAGCAGAACCTAGCAAACTCCCCGTGGTGTATTTGTTATGCCAAAAACAGTAACAATAAGTCTCACAATGGAGACGTTACTAGTGCCCGCTCGAGCAAATCGATGAACAATGGGAGGACAGTGCTACAGTGCTATGTGTGCTTATCTTCCCAACTTTTAAAACTATGTAGATATAATACAAAGCAATGGCAATATACTATTGAGATGTTTTGAGATCTTTAGTTTCTCTTTCTTTCTATCTTTCTTTCTTCTTTTTTAAAGAGGTTTGGGATATTGCATCACACTTGGCGGTGCTCAGGGTCTATTCCTGGCTCTGTGCTCAGGAGTGACCCATCTTGGTTCTGGGGATATAACAGGGTTGGTCCATGCAAGGCAAATGCCTTATGTCCTGTACTCTCTCTTACCCTGTGACCCTGCTTTTCTAATTAAAAAATATTCTTTATAATGGTGAATATAACAGTGCAAGTACTGAATTACAAGGTTATACACCTGAAAATTATGTTACAAACCAATGTTCCTTAAATAATTTTTTACAATTTTGCACATAACTATAACAGGTCTCATTCCCCTGACCCTGAAAGAGCCTCCAATTGTTGGGAAAGAGGAGTAAGGAGAGGCTGCTAAAATCTCAGGGATGCTTTTGGAAAACAGTATGGATGATTCTCAAAAAATTAGAAATTGAGCTCCCATTTGACCCAGCAATACCACTCCTGGGAATATATCCCAGAGAGGCAAAAATGTATAGTCGAAGTGACATCTGCACTTGTTTGTTCATTGCAGCACTCTTTACAATAGCCAGAAACTGGAAGAAACCTGAATACCCAAGAACAGATGACTGGTTAATGAAACTTTGGTACATCTACACAATGGAGTATTATGTAGCTGTTAGAAAAGATGAAGTCATGAAATTTACATACAAGTGGTACAACATGGAAAGTATAATGCTAAGCGAAATGTGTCAGAAAGAGAGGGATAGACATAGATTGCATTCATCTGGAGGATATAAAATAACAAAATATGAGATTAATACCCAAGAATAGCTGAGATCAACACCAGGAGGATTACTCCATAGCGTAGAGGCCAGCCAGGCATTCTAGGGGAAAGGGCAGCTCAAATAGGGAAGGGAGCACCAAATAAAGGGTGTTTGGAGGATCCTCTCAGGAGGGGAGATGCATGTTGAAAGTAGACTATGGACTGAACATGTTTGCCACTCAATGCCTCTTTTGCAGACCACAACACCCAAAAGAATAGAGAGAACAAAAGGGAATGCCCTGCCACAGAGGCAGGGTGGAATGGGCGGGATGGGGGTGGGAGGGATATTACCCATGGTGGTGGAAATGGGCACTAGTGGAGGGATGGGTGTTTGATCATTGTATAGTCGAGACCCAAGCACAAAAATTTGTGGATCTACAACTGTACCTCATGGTATTTCACTAATAAAAATAAAATAAAATAAAACAAAATAAAATCTCAGGGCTGGGACGAAAAGAGATGTTGGTGGTGCCCGCTTGAGTAAATCAAAGAACAACAAGGTGACAGTGATACAGTGACAGTGTACATAATAATAAAAAAATTTAAAATATTTATACTCTAAGATTACTCTCTGATACAGGTTTTCACTTCTTTGTACTACCGAATTTTTGGTGTACCACTGAATCTTTTATGCATATGCCATATTCATCTAGCACCCTATTGAGGAACACTGTATTGTTTCCAGTTCTTTTCTATTCAAGTATTCTTTTTTATTTTTTTAAAAAAATTTGGGCCACACCCAGTGGTGTTTAGTTTTTTTCCTGGCCCTGTGCTCAGGGGTCACTTCTGGCTGTGTTTGGGAAACCATTGGCAGTGTGGGAGTTTGAACCAGTCCAGTGTCAGCTGCATACAGGGCAAATACTTTACCTCTGTACTGTCTTCTGGTCCGCGTTGTTATATTTCATGGAGGTACTGCCAAACAGTGCTCATGGGCTTCAAATACCATTTGTGGTGATACTCAGTCTAACAGGCAGATGGCACAATACTAGTGCTGCTCAGCCCCAGTGGTGCCAAAGCATCCACGGCTACACCCAGCAGTGTTCATGGAACCATGGGGAGTTAAGATGCTAACCTAAATCCCCAAGCATGCCATGTCTGCACCCCTGCCTCTTGTGTTATCTCCCTCGTCCTTGATTGTTACTTTTATAAATATTTAATAGGGCTAGAGAGTTAATAGAGGTCCTAAGGTACTTGTCCCAGGTATAGCTGACCCTGTTTCAGTTCCCGCTACTCTAGGGTTCTCTGAACACAGTGCTAGAAGTAGCTCCAGAGCACTTCCAGGTGTGGCCCCCTAGGCCTCCCAATTTTTAAGTAATATGCTGATTTAATCCAAATACAAAGTAATTTTAACATGGGGTCAATATAAAACAGTTACTATGAGATACTTCACATTCTTTTTCCCCCCTTGTCCTTGAAAATCATTGCTTTTCTTTGGTTTTAAAAAGAAGATTACCTATTTTTTTATATTATAAATTTGTTATTGGGAATATGGGTTTACAAGAGTGAAAGTGTTTATATGCTTTAGAAATTTAATATTCCTCTACCAATTCTATAACCCAAATGCTAATATTCCTTGACCATGACTCACTGTACCATTTTAGTTCCAAATGCACCCCTCCCCCCACCACACACCTTTATAGCTCCAATTCTGGAATTAGAGTCTAAGGGGCTCCCCACTCCCCACTGAATAATGATTATTCCCTTGCTTTGTTTATTTATATACCACATATGAGTGAGATCATTCGGTATTTGTCTTTCTCCTGAGTCACTAACATGACTCCCTCTAGTTCCATCCTTGTAGCTGCTAGTGGTCAATCATTTCTTGTAGGTGAACAGTAGCTCACTGTGTATATATATTGCATTTACATCATCCACTCTTCTGTCCTTTGGCACCTGAGTGATTTCCAGATCTTAGCTATACTAAATACTGTTGCAATGATCGTAATTGTATATACATATTTTCTAATAGTATTTTGTTCCATGTATGTTCTTTGGATAAGTATCTCAAATTAGAACTGTTGATCATTATGGTAGTTCTATTTTTAACTGTTTAGAAATCATCCTACAGTTTTCCACATACACTAAATGAATTTACATTTACGGGTTGCTAACTTTTTAATCTTCTATTTTTCCTGCCTCCCTCCTTCTATTGTTTTATCTGGATTGTAAAAGTTTAAAATCCACTTCTTTGGACTTTGATAAGCATTACAGTTCTTACTAGGACTAAGTAAGACTAAGTAAGGACTACGTGCTGCAGCCCAGCAACCCTCCCTCTGCTTTCATCCCACATATCAAACTGTCAAGTGGATTTGTGAATAATGACACCTGGACATTTCAACTCATGGTATACAAACTTCACAGGTTCTCCAGTGCAGAGAATGTTAGTTAACACAAATCAAGTCCTCATAAACCTAGTTTCTCTCATTTATAACTTTTCTTACCTCAATGTTTTATTTACTATTATTATTATTATTATTTTGCTTTTTGGGTCACACATGGCGATGCACAGGGGTTACTCCTGGCTCTGCACTCAGGAGTTACTCCTAGCGGTGCTCAGGGGACCATATGGGATGCTGGGAATTGAACCCAGGTTGGCCACATGCAAGGCAAATGCCCTACCCCCTGTGCTATTGCTCCAGCCCCTTACCTTAATGTTTTAAATCACCACGTTCTTTCTTTCAACTTGTTAAGTGGTTCTCAAATCCATCTGCTACTTTCCATCTCAAATTATCAGTCTAGTTTACTGTCATTTCTTTTGTATTGTACTGCACCTTCCTCATGGGTGATTTCTCTTTTTCTTGCTCCCAAACATGATGAGAATAATATTTTAAAGTGCAACTAATACAGAGCTATTTGCCAGCCATAAAACCTTTAAAGAATCCAAACAGTATCCAAACCTCAAAAATCACAAATCCCCAAGTCACATATTTACATTGGTGCTTATATTTGACATTAAGTGCTACAACACACAGAAGATCAACACTCAAGTCATTATAGAGGTAACTGGCCTGGCTGGCAATGAAGGGAATGCAGGGGCAGAGTGAGAATTGGTAAAAGGAACGTCCAGTAATTAATTCAGCTATATGAATTTTTTTGCAATTGCAATGTGTTAAATTATTAGTGACATGTAAAAAACTAAAATAAAATGGACTGCAATAAGAGTAAATTAATCAGTAACCATATTGGAAGATCATAGTCACCAGCAGATTGTATAGTTACAATGTCAACTCTCGTTAGGGAGAGACTTCCAATTCTCTACCACTTTCCCCAGGAAACAAATTGTCCTTTTACCCCAATATTGCCAAAGAATTCCATTCAAGATATTCTTACCTTTGTTGTCCACAGTTTGACAGTCCAGTCAAATGATGATGTGACAAACAGGTGTGAAAAGTCGATAGGCCCCACTGCCATATGGCAGTTAATTCCTGTCACTGGCCCTTGATGACCTTCAAAGACTTCGCCAATCCCTGCTTTGCTGCATGAAAACACCCACATAAGCAGAATTTTAGTTATTTCGCAAAATGGTGATTGCTTCAGCATCAAATTCAGTAACAGCAACAAATTTGTCTAAATGATTACTTTATAACTTAGAGAAACATCATATGAAACCACTTTCCCTGTCACCCTGAGAGAAATAAATTACTTGCAAACATGCTAAACAAATATTTTTTGTAATAGTAAACAATGTGGGCAATAAAATATATTTTTTAAATTTTTATTAGTGAGACACCATAAGGTAGAGTTGTAGGCTTACAAATTTTGTACTTGGGTTTCAATTATACAATGATCAAATACCCATCCCTCCACCAGTGCCCATTTCCCACCACCATGGATCCCAGTATCCATCCCATCCCCCCATCCCCTCCATCCCACCCTGCCTCTGTGGCAGGGCATATCATTTTATGCTTTTTCAGCAATTTCTAATACTTTGTTGCAGCTACTTTGATATCGGGCATATATGCTTGAATCTCAGAAGCTTTAATACTTTTAATAAGATTGTTCTATTTTTATGCTGATATTTGGCATATATTTCAAGTCTTTTTGTGGGGAAGAAGCTACACGTAGGAATTGTTCAGAGATAAAGTCTAATTCTACACACAGATATCACTTCTGGCAGGACCATAAGTGGTGCTAGAGACTGAACCCAGGTGGCATGAATGCAAGGCAAGCATCCTACCCACTCTTTTATCTCTCGTATGTATCATTTTGACTTTTTTAAAGAAAACTATAAACTTTCTGACATCCTGGATAGAGACATCTATCTTTTCAGTGAAATTTCTCAAGTTAGGTTGATTTACACCTAAAAAAATTATTAAACCCATGTTATTACAAAATAATACACAAAATATAAATGCAACATGGAGGAATTATTGTTTTCATGAAACATATATAAGGAATTTACATAGTCATTAAATATTAATTGTGTGTTACAGATGTCTTGTTGCTAAATGTTTAGCATACAGAAAAATGCCAGACAGATCTGTTAAAAGAAATGACAAAGAGGCCAAACTTAGGCCTATTTTACTCAACAGAGGCACATTTGAGAAACAGTCATACAAATTTTTTAAGTTATCCACAGACTTATCTTGCTGATGTAACTAGACTGGGATTATTTCCAGTATCTGCTCCTGACCCCCAACCAACAATCACATAATTGTTTGCACTGCACTCCCAGCTAGATAGTAAACAAAATGCTAATATTATAAAAATGGATGGATATGAAGTTTTAACTATGACAAATATATGAAAATTCTGGAATCTAAATATTATGCCACTAGGAGTAAAAATGAATTGCATTATTAAAACATCCTGACTTCTCGAGTACCAATAAATGTCAGTGTGTTGAACAAAATTTGAAATAAGTAGAAAAGTACTGCAGCATGTATTTCATGTAACAGGCACTCAAAAATTATGCCCAGTGAAACTGCTAACAGCAGTTCCACATGCGATCATTTAAATTTGCCCTAATGAACACGAGGAACTGATCTTTGAAGTGGTCCCTAGTGAGACTCCACTTGCTATTAACAGCATCCTGAAGGGGTTTATAGGGTGCAAAATGAGGACCTTGTTTAATTTATGGAAGTGGATTTACACATTCTGTATGTTAGGTGAAAAATAGAAATCCCTATCCTCTCCCTTGTATCCCTACCTAACCCATTTAAAATTACTACAAAGTCAAACACATGCTGATTTACAACTTTACTAAGACCTTTATTTTATATTTCAAATGGATGGATTGATGCATAAGGCAAAATGGAGCTTGTTGTAAAAATATTTATGATGTATCCTCTCGGTAATCTTTTTTGAACCACAGAGGACATTTTGACATTGATTGAAAAGGACAGTAGCCACAGAACAAATGTATCTGCCTTGTAAAAGGTTATTCAGATTAGAGAAACTTTGCAAATCAGAGAAACAACTGAAAGGTATCAATGGATATGTCCTGTAGCCTAACAGAAAATTAAATTCCAGAACTAAGTCAACTGAACCTAAGCTTTTTTGTGTCTCACAAAAGTATAGCTGAAGTTGTAATTCCTTGTTCAGCTTACTGAACTTTCTTTATCTCTTTCCTGACACACATGGCACTACCTCTTTTACAGGTATTTGTCTACTTACCTTTCCCCCCATCATCAGGTCTTTGAAGATATCTGCATGCCTCCTGGAACCATCTAGTATTATACGTTGCTCAAAGTAGGTGTGTAGCAAATGTTTGTATGAATGAACAACTTTATAGATCTTCTTATCCTTTGATTAAACTGTAAGGCGTGTTTGAGCCAGTTTTTATTAAGTAGGAACATTAGGCCGGGAACTATAAAGCCTACCTCTTTCTAGCCATCTTTCAATCCTGTGAGTAGGAACCAAGAATTATTTCAGTGCGTAAAACAGTGGGTACCTCACAGGTTATGTTGAATGGGTAGGAAAAATCACATTTTTGGTTGCTTGTTAGTTCTATAAATCACTAAAACACAGGAGCATGAACTTGGAAGAATTTGTAGTTCCTTGATAAATCTAAATAGCCTGGGATGGACACAAGAGATGAAAAATCAATGGAACTAGTTGTACTGAAATGAAAGGGAAATTAAGCACCAAAGTGAACTTAGTAAACCTTTCAAAAGATGTGAAGTTGCTTGCTTGCTTCAGTTTAGTGTGAATTTTTACAATTTGGTCTAAATGATCAATTCTGTTTTATTCAGAAAGCTTTGTTTTCCAGTAGCATCTATAGTTTTCTTCAACTGCAGCATGGCTTTTGTATGTCATTCCAGCATTTCTTACTGGGTATAGTACCTAAAACTTTGTTACTTGGTATTGTCATCTCTTTACTGCTGATTTGATGTTTAGCTGAACACCTTCTGGTGCCAGGAAACAGAAAGAGAACAGGCAATGAAATGGAATAGATTTAGTAGGAGAAATTAGTAAACAACTGAATCATTGAGATAAAATGTATTACTATTTTAGAAACACAAATTAGCAAACCTGACAGTCTGCATAAGAAGAAACTGATAATGAAAACATATAAATGAAAAAAATCTGACATGTAGTCCTACCTCCTTTTTAAACTTCATGGGAATTGTTATAATAAATCATATCATAAAATAACTTGTTAGTTTATTGCCTTCTCCCGTTAGCCAGAATAGGACAGACCTCAAAGTCTGTCCTTCTGCCTCCTTATGATGTAATGGTGCCTGGTATACTGACACTTGGAAGCTGCTTGGTATTCCTGAAAGAATGAATGATAAAGGAATAGAAACAGTGGAACCATACAGGAGGGATAGCTTTGTTTTTTCCCCTTCAAGAGAAAGAGCAGAGGCTTTGCTGTGGCATACATTCTGTGCTAGAGCTTGAGGGGTTAGGTTCCCTTCACTGAGCCAAGAAGAGAAATGCCAGACACAACAGAAGAAATTGAAAGTACAAACTCCTAATGGTATGTTGGGATAAGTAATGTGAGGGGACTGTTTTCCCTGAAGGAGGTGTCACTAGAGCCTACAGGCTGAGAATGGAAAAAAGCAGGTAGTCAAGGGTCACAAGTATATGCCATGAACTTTTAGTCAAGGCAGTGTGAACCATCAAAGACTCAGAAATGGCTGAGGACCACAGAAAATACCACACACTCAGAGATAAAGAGGAATGGGAGTTGTGCTTCATCTCTTCAGAAATGCCTCCCTCATAATGCAAGGTGGTTACAATCTAGAATGCAGTAACAGACTTTGGGAAATGGGGAACATGTCATTTGCAAGGAAACAAAAAATCACCTTCCATGACGACAGGCCGTGTAGACTATACCCTCCTCACTGCCAACCACGAAGTTATTGACGTCTCCTGTCGGGAAAGCCATTCCGGTAACAGCCACAGGTTTGGACTTATTGTATACCAGCTCCATGCTCTCCTACCAAAACAGGGGGTGGTTACATTCCCTGTCAATTCCTTGCCATGCCAAAGATAGCATGGAAAAATCATTTGGCTAAATCATCTGTTTGCTTTTCACACAGCGTTACAAAAGACCCCGGCTGTGCCAGAAACCACGCTTTACTGCCCTGACATTCATGCTTCTGTGTATCTCTGGTTTCAGGCCGGCTGGATTTCATCAGAGTGTGTTGCTGCTTCTTAAGTCAGGCAGAGATGACAGGTGAGAATTTTGGAACTAATGGTGCAGAAACTAAAGATAATACTGTAATGGTTACACTTGTCAGCCCCAGGCCTTAATAAAACACACAATACCCTTATATTTACAAACATTTTCAAAATCAATTGTTCATGAGAATACACATGTATTAATATCAGATGTACTAAGCACACTTCTCAAAGCAGGAGTGTGTGTCTTCCATGAACTAAAACCAGAAAGCTGACACTCAGGTCAAAAATACCCCAGATTTTGACTGGGGCTAGATTTCAGGAAGGGCCCTAGCTACTGAATGTATACACTGCAAGCCTGCAGAGAGCAGTGTTAAAATAAGTCTTATGACAGTAACAGAAAGTCTTTATTTTATCTAAGTGATTAAAAAATTCGGAGTTAAATATTTTAAAAGGTATTCCATATTTGAATTTGGTTTTGTGACAGTGAAAAGCAATTCAATATAATTCATATCTTTGAATACTTCTGATAGTTTGTATCAAATAGTCTACTTTGTGAACTTGAAGTAAATTAAAAAATTATTTTGGGAGAGCAAATAATTATAGTTGCTTAAGAATTCTGTCCCTTTATGCAAGCACGTAAAACAGGTCATTTCTACTAAGGTGTCTGAATCTGCAGTGCATGCTGACAGTCCAGGGAGGACAGAACACATAATCTCGCATGATTTGCTCACAGTACATGAGAGTCACACACAGCAAGTACAGCTGTGAATGGGATGCCATGACATTTCAGTTCAGAAAATGAGAAGACCCGGTGGTCTTCTCTATGGCTAAAGTGAGCTACAGGGAAGGTATATACTCTTGGTCGACCACCTGGGAGAATCAGAATGACCAAGGCAACTTTTTTCAATGCTCCTATCCCTCTCTGCCACCACAGGGAAGCCACATAATGAAACTCACAATTTTTCAGAAGGGACAGGAATCTGTGGGCATGCTGAAATAAAGAACGTCGGGCTTGTAACCCCTGTATGACTGGTTTTAGCCTAAACAAATACACGTTTAATCAGCAAAATGGGCAATTAAAAATTTCCAAATAGAGGGTTTGCTTTTATATCTGTTTGTAATCTCCATGCTAAAAAAAAAGCCAGAACAGCTCTTTACTGAAAATTTTGAGAGAAAACCGTAAAATGCCCACAGACAGCCGCCAACTTGTACAATGTTAAAAAAAAATCAGCAAAAATAGAGAAAGGTAATTTGTATGGACCTTGTCAGTTCTGTCTATTTTCCAAATCACCTCCAAATAATTAAAAAGAAAAAACAGTGGATTCAGTCTTAGTATTCTCTCCCTCTGTATTTGTGGAGAGTTACAGGAGGCTATTTATGGTTTCCACATTTGTTGTATATCTTGAAACTTCAGTGCCTTCTAAATTATGTGAGAAACACTCTAGGGTCATTATTTCGGAAATGGAATAGGAGTGTTAAAATTTAGAATTATCTTCTATAATTTTGTTTTTTTACACTTTATGTAAAGTCTATGACTAAACTTTATTTTTTAGCTGGAAAGTAATGAAATATTATCCCGCTCCCCCTAAGACCCCCTCCCCCACCTCACAGTTACAAAGAAATGTGGGGAAGTGTGTATGTTTATTTACGCACTCCTTACATACATATGTAGATATATGAATATTCTGGAGGTATATGACATGTCTATTCTACCTCCATGATCCTACTTTTGCTCCTTTGTTTGGCTCCCATTACTATATTCAGCAGTGGCTTAGACATGTTGGAATTATTAATATTTTAAATTTTCTATTTGTTATTTATTGAGCAAGAAATGCCAGGGATTATAATAACAAATATTCCAAAGGCAAAACAGATAGTTTGACTAAGTTGTCATACATAGATTCAGTGTCTAGGCTACAGAAATAAGCAAAGGTTTGAATTCTATTTTGTTGGGGTATTTTTTTTTTCAAAGCAAGTACCTATTGCTTTGCTGAGCTCCAACAATTCTGCTGGGTAAACACAATTCATACCACAGGTAACCTTCAGAAATACCATGCTTTAAAATGGATCCTTTCCTTTTCATTGAAAACTGACCTTAGATCAGTTTTACAATAATTACATGATTTTTGGTAAAGGAAATGGGTTTTGGCTTCAAGGGGAGGCTGCTGATAGTAGGCTCCCCTCTTTTAAGTGCATTCATTGATTTTAGTTCCTGTAGAATATAAAAACTATGTTCCTTTAGACAGCTCTATTTTAACCAGGATGCTTTTCAGGGTAGGGAAAAACAAACCTACCTGTGGAGTAGAGAGCATGTCCAGACTCCAAGAACACATTTTACCATCAGTGGATACAGTGATGAGGTTGTGAGCATTCTGGGTCCCAACAACATTTACACAGTACACAGGATGCTACAAACACATACACATAGAAGATCAGACTCTCACCTAAGAGGAAATGCTTACATTTGAGTGTCAAACAAATTATCCTGAAAGAAACAAGGATTAAAGAGTGACATTATCCCACAATAATACAAGCCTCAGGCCATTTGCCACTTTTTATTTGAACCCAATTTCCTTCTAAAAGTATGGGCAGAAACCGTAGAGTAGAACAAAGCATCACCTTGCTCAGTCAGTTCAGTGCAGCAGAGTTAAAGGAAGTGAGAGTGAATGAGGATTGATGGGGCTGAAGCAGTACAGGAAGGTGGATCTGGATTGCTTGAGTGACTATCTACTGCATAGTTTGGCTTTGAAAACCCCCGTGAATGATGGAAAAATTTATCGAAGGGTAGAACTATTGACTTTTGGAGTGAATAATTGTTGGAGTTGGAACTGGAATAAATAAAAATCTGAAGTTTAATACATTGTAGTTACCATGCCAAATGTTTGTTAACAATTTTTTTTAAAGTGGCTAATATTCATCGCACAGCAGGTAGGGCGTTTGCCTTGCACGCAGCCAACATGGCCGACCCGAGTTCCATTTCTCCGCTCCTCTCGGAGAGTCCGGCAAGCTACAGAGAGTATCTCGCCTGCACGTCAAAGCCTGGAAAGTTCCCCATGGCGTATCCAATATGCCAAACACAGTATCAAGTCTCACAATGTTACAGGGCCCACTTAAGCAAATCGATGAACAATAGGAGGACAGTGACAGTGACAATATTCATCAATCTCTTTAAGAGAGAGAAAATGATGATAAGAATTACTGGCACACACACACACACACAAAAACCCAAAAAACAAAAAAAAAAAAAAAAAAAGAAAATTACTGGCACAATTCAGCTAGTGAGATAACATTAGGTTCTTGTATGCTACTGCAAAAATCTAGGATAATGATAAGCTTATTTTTCCAAAATACCGCTTGAGGTAGCATGGATATTTAGATTTGACTAGGAGCTTGAGAAAGGTCATTTTTATATCCCAGGAATTGTAGTTGCTTTAACTTAGCTTCTCTTATAACTGTAGTTGGTTATCCCACTCTGTAGAATCCTAAACGGTAGGCTAAAATCATTTGCAGCTGCATATAAAATACTAAATGGAAGGTTAGCATAAGCAGAACCTAGCAGTAATTTGGGTTAGATTTCAGGCAGCTTAGCCACCCGTAGCCAAACCACAACTTACTTGATGCTTCTCTGTGCAAATAGCTGACAGTCAAAGTCTTACTCTTGATGAGATACTGTCCATAATACTAGCCACAACTACAATGAAGCAATCTATAATATAGGAAAGTTGATATAATAGAAAGGATGATTCCCAAACTATTAATTATCATATAAACTACTGGTCAGAAGGAACCGTAATAATCATCTAGTACAGATTCTCATCTTCTTCTACCAAGAAGCATTCCAAAACTGGCTTAAACACCTTTTTTAAACAGAGAACCATTTAAGCATTAATTCCTAGTGAGTTCTTCCTTCCATGTAAGAGGATAAAAGAAGCTCATGGAGATACTTTCAAATCAGTGTCATCTGACAAGACAGAGATAAATCAAAATATTACAAAATGCTTTTGACTATTTGGAGATTGTTGTTGTTGTGACACCCACCCAAAGTCATGTCTTATTCAGACTATCACTATTTTCTTCTGGATTTCAGTTCCTTTTTCAACTTGATATGCTGTATTTTGTTAGGTTGGTTGGGTTTTTTTTTTTGGCCACACCCAGCAGTGCTCAGGGATTATTCCTGGCTCTGTGTTCAGAGATCACTCCTGGTTGGGTTCATGGAACCACATGTGGTGCTGGGGATTGAACCCAGATTGACTGCATGCAAATCAATTGCCTTATGTGCCGTTCCATTGCTCTAGCTGGTATGCTATATATTGTATGAGTTGCACTTACAGTCAAATTCTGAGAATCAGATATAACTGTCTTATCTGTATTCTGACTAGAAGAACATAGAAATCAGAGGGCAATGAATTCTTACCTCTTCCATGATTAAAAAAAAAGCAACTGCCTATATTAAGGCATCCTAAAATTACATTTGCATTTTTGGCAAATGTTATCTCTCACTCAGATAGATGGATAATCGTCTAAGTTTCTGTTTTGTTCACACCATGTTTTTACAGAAACTTTCAAATGAATTAAGATCACTGATGGATTGTGGATCCATAGACAATGCTCTTTCCCAAGTCTCTGGTATATATGGAACTCACAGTATTGTACTATGAAATTTAAGACCTGAGTCATACCGCATGCAAAGTTTTGCATGAAAGTCAAGTGGAAAAGTAGAGGGAACAAAATTTTGCCTAAAAGTAGGAGACTTACTGACATGGGAGAATGGAGAAACAAGGTCCAGAACCTGTTAAGAACCTACAGTCCACTTATTGTTTTTCAGCAGGAGCCCAGTGGAGTTTGTTTGTTAACCATAAAGCACCAATACAAATCACCCAAACCTTAATGGAAGTGGACTACTTAGGTTAGGGTGGAGAACGGAGAGACTTCTGGGAGAATGTACAGAACCAAACGCCTACCTAGAGAAGGTCTGTGTGTGGTACCTCTTTCCTGGCTTTCATCAGTACTTCTGGTCTCTGCTTTCATGAGTAACAAAACTCAGTTTAAAAGAAAAGAGAGAGATGTAAAAAAAACAAAAACAACAAAAAAAAAAACAAAACCCCGAACAGAAGCAGACACGTGGGCCTGCCTGCTCTTATGCATATGCAGACATATACCACTCTACTCAATGGAGAGAAAAAAATCAACGGTGCAGCTCATTTTTCCAGTATAGATACCAGATTGTTTTTTATTTATTTTAGGAATAAACTTACTGTGTGGCAGAAACATTTTGTTTTAATTAGGATTTCCTGTCGTCTCAAATGCATATGTGTGGTGGGTGTGAAAGGAAATTAGTAAGTAATCTGTGGTGGACCTCCTTTTCTTTTTAAATCCTGGCAGCAATCAACCAGGCATTAATGAAGTTAAAAGACAGTTGCATTATTAACCATGTATGAACTTTCTAGCTACTAATTCAACAGAACACAGTAAAAGAGGAAAACACTGTTTTATTTTCTGGTGGGAATAATATTACTCTATTTGATAAGAACAGCATTTTAAGTAATGTGATTACATCTAAAGTTACTTGACAAAGAAAGACATTCTTTGAAAGGGCTCTAGGATTCATATTTTTCCAAAATATTATTGCTGAGTGTTATAGAATTTGGATATAATATATATATATTGAAAATTCTGAAGATATACTTACAAACGTACCAGTAACCCACTGAGAGTCACAAAATGGTTTCGTGCTACTTGAACAAACACCTGCACGAGCCCATCTTCTCTTGGGTCACAATTTTCTATTATTACTTTGGAGAAATAGGGTAGGCAAGAGCAATTTTCCAAGATTCCAAGAACTAGTTTCACCTGTCTGTGTCTTGGGTCTAAGTCAATCAGAATTAAAGCTGACTTGCTCTGTGTCATTTTGCATTGTCAATCTTATGACAGAGGAAGAATTTTCTTCTTCCCGGTCTTAACTAAAGTACCTAGCCATTTTTTTTAAACGTCAAAATTATATTGAGACCATAAGATTCAACAAATGAGGTAACCACATTAAGGAAATGGAAACAATGGTAGGGCTGTATCCTTGGGCACACTTTGAGCATTTCAGAGGAAAAACATCAGTTACCCTGCATGTCAAGGTAGCAAGGATTGATGGAGACATGCCTGTCTTCTCATGCCTTGTAACAATTGCTAAACACACCTGTCATTCTCTTAAAGGAAATGACAGAGTAGTTGTCTTAGGAACACTGTTCTGAACCTCTTCTACTAAATTATGGGTAATGGTTTTGAGATGTTGACTTTTAACCCTAGGGATTATATTGTCACTGTAGACTTTACCATTGAGACATGCACCACACACTTTGGAATTTAAAGTCCTAGCACTTATTCAGTCATAAATCAAAAAGGTCTGTTGGCAAGGCAATAGTCCTCTATACCATCTCTAGATATAAAATGCTTACTCTTCATGGTCTATCTGCAAATGGGAGTCTTCACCTTATGATGAAAATGCCAAGTATTTCTTTAGAAAAATGGTTTCACAGATGCCTTTTTCAACATTTCTCTCTGTTCTTTTGTGAAGTTTTAATCTATCCTCAAAAGTGATCCCTGGGATGTCCCTAGGGACACTTTCTTTTTTCTTTTTTTTTTTGTTTTGCTTTCTGGGTCACACTGGGTGATGCACAGGGGTTGCTTCTGGCTCTGCACTCAGGAATTACTCCTAGCGGTGCTCGGGGGACACATGGGATGCTGGGAATTGAACCTGGGTTGGCCGTGTGCGAGGCAAATGTCGTACCTGCTGTGCTATCACTCCAGCCCCCCTCGGGACCCTTTCTGTGTGCTTCGATTTGTAGATTATAAAGATGTCCCAAATGCAGTGCTCTCCTCATCTTCTTTTCACCCAGCTTTATTTAATCCAGTCAGGACCAAATCACTATAAATTAAATGCTTCTAACTAGGAGCAACTAACAACATGTATACAACATAAATTTTCAGTTGAATTATCCCCCATTTAAGGGTTGAGTGACCACAGACATGTGACAGAAGCTTACCGTGTGTGCAGCGGCTGACAGTGGTGTCCGCTGCACTGGTGTCCTTCGATGACTGCGATTGTCCCACAAGACAATTTGGCCTGAATAAGTCCCACCAACGACCAGGTTGGGATGGAAACGAGCAAAGCAGACTGACATCACAGAGGACTGTGAGGGAAAAGATAAGAGAGGTGTGCTATGAAATGATGGGAGGTTTGTTTCTTCCTGAAGAGAAAATGGTTCATCACATACACAAAACAACGTGAAAAAAGAAAGCAATTTTTAGTTGGATTTTTTAAGTGCCGGGCACAAAAATTTCCCAGAAGAGGCTGAACCGTAGTTATCTCATGGAACTTGAAATTTGAGGGCTTAGCCATGTCATCAAATAGGCATAAAACTTATGTGCAGCATTGTTTTGTGGTCTGCAAAACTTAGCTTATAGACATTTACCATTTATCAATAAAATTGCATCAGAACTTATGTTAATTCTCCATGAAGCCTTTGGCAAAGTACTTCTTTGAGGGCATAGGCAATATAAAAGTCATATTATGGGTAGTGTTGGTGAGGCTTTGAGATGTGTGCTTTTCTTTCTTTTTTGGCTTAATGACTTCTAGGAAACATACTGACCTCAGACTGATTCAACTGGTTCCTCTCCCAGTTTCCTCATCCCCTGTGGGCATTATCCTGACCTTAATCCTGCCCACTTCAAACAATTCTTAATTTTATTCTTTGCCTGTCTTAACAAACAGAAATGTACTTCAGTCCAGTTCTGCTATGGTCTGTCATAGAATAATACATTTGGTTTCTCAAATTCCACAAAGGCACTACCTTTTAAAGGAAGCTGCTTAGCAGAGTCATAGCCATGTTATATCTAACATGAAACAAGTTGGCTAGGACACATCTGCTAAGAAGTCCATTTTGATTCCCTGGTGCTCTCCATGTTTGAATATATAAGTACGATAATTATTTTTAACAAATGTATTACATCCCTTCAATTAAATCTAATGAACACTCTTCAGTATAAGAAAGGCATGTACCAGACACAATAGAATACAAAGATAGTCATTTCCTTCAAGAAACGTGCCCTGGTAAAGAAAATGAAAAATCAAGTAAGCAAATGGACTGGGCTGCTGTGCATTCATACAGTACCTTTGTATGAAGAAGGTGTTTCTGCATAGACATAGTGACGTGACAGGATGACTATGGCAAGTGAAGGGTAAGATGGCTCATTGTTCCCATTTGTCCCTTGAACGTAACAACCTTGTCAGGGCACAACTTTCACACTTATATGACAAACCTAGCTATGAATGTATGGCATAGCACTAAATTCTGAGAGAGAAAGAAAAAGAGAGAGAAGAGAGAAAGAGAGAAAGAGAGAGATGTACAGCAATGGGAAAATCTGTTTTAGTATGCTGAGGAAAGAAGTGGGGAATTATTATGCAGATCTTATGAAAGCAAAAGGAGCAACTTGGGTCTATGTGGAGCATTCAGCAAGTGGAGAGGAAAAGAAACGTGTTTCTCAGTGCATAATGTAAAGAAAGAACAAAACAGTTACTGGTAGATAACTCATGATTACAATTTGGTTTGGCTGGGAAGGTAACTGTATTTCAGAAGAGACAGGTGGTAGCAAATGTGCTGGAAAGGCAGCCTGGGCCAGATAAACGTAGGACTGTTCTGAATGGTTCTGAATGGCAGACTCTATTTGATCGCATGTTTTGGGTAGCACTGTGGCACTGTCATCCCATTGCTCATCAATTTGCTCAAGCGAGCACCAGTAACGTCTCCACTGTGAGACTTGTTGTTACTGTTTTTGGCATATAGAATATGCCAAGGGGAGCTTGCCAGGCTCTTCCTTGCTCTCAGTAGCTTGCCGGGCTCTCCAACAGGGGCAGAGGAATTGAATCCTGGTTGGCTGCGTGCAAGGCAAACCCCCACCTGCTGTGCTATTGCTCCATACCCAGCTTTCTAAGCAAAATGGAAGGAAAAACGCTGTTGAACCAATAAACCAACACCTTAAAGAAATTACTGAAGAATGAGATTGAAAGTAAAGGAGGTAAGTTGCCTGGCTTGCATGTGGCTGACCCGGTTTGATCCCTGTACTGAAGAGGGTCACCCGGCACCAACGTGGCTCACTCTGGAGCACAGAGCCAGGAACCTCCCCTGAGCACTGCCAGGTGTGACTCAACTCTCCCCTCTCCTCAAAGCCCCTCCCTTAGACCCCACCAAAATGATGCCAGGCTGCAGAGATAGCACAGTGGCTAAAACAATTGCCTCACACATGTCTTACTTGCGTTCAATTCCCTGGCATCACAAATGATCCTCCAAACACCACCAGGAGTGATCCTGGGCACAGGGTCAAGAGTAAACTTGAAAATTTCCAGGTCGGGCCCAACCCTCACCAATCTCACCCCACCCCCCAAAAATGTGATTGAAAAACAAATGACCTCTTTTTGCTGGTAAGTTAATCATATATTTCTAAAAAAAAATCATATCTGCTATTGCCTAAGGCTTCCTTATCAGAAACAGTCTCCAATATGCTGAAGTAAAATAAAGAATGTGGACTATTTTTAATGTTGTGTTTTCCCAGTTTGAATGATTTTCAGTTTCAATTCCTTGAACACAATTCGATGGTGAACATGCTTGTGCTTCAATCTGGTTTTCATAAAGTTCAAGAATAACTCTCAATAATGATACTGAATTTAAGAAAAAGAAAATAATGCTGGTCAGCTTCTTGTTTTACACATCCCACAGAAATGTTTCTTAGTTTTCAATTGATGAAATTCTTATGTTGCTTGAACTAAGTTGGAAACATTTTTTTAAGCTTTGGAAAGACTTAAAATTATCCAGGTGGTATCGACAATTGAATTTACAAAGCCCCAATCAATATATACAAAGGAATTCCATTAAATTAGAAAAATCCAGAATTCAATCACTTGATTGCTACTGTATTTCAGTTAAATGCAGCAAATACTCCAAACCATGCAGTTTGTTGAGAGATTAAATTAAAAAAAATAAATTAAGGAGGTATTTTTTATGAAACTGAAACACACAGTTTACAACTTGAATCCAAAAACATGGTGTGAGTACTCTAATTCCTACTTTTTTATTCATTCATTTTCCGCTTTCTATTTGTCATTGAACATATACTGCCAAATAAGTAGTAACTAAATCAAGCCCCCAAATCTCATGCCATAAAAGCCCTCCATCGTGAAATCAGAATTCTTTTTTTTTGGGGGGGGGTGAGGGAGAAAGGGGTATTGGATCATACCAAGCAGTACTTAAGGCTTATTCCTGGCTCTGTGCTCAGGGGTCACTCCTGATGGGGCTCAGGAGATCCTACCTGGTGTCTGACAGAGATTCTGGGTTAGGCATATATAAGGTATGTACTTTCATCATTGTGCTATCTCTCTGCTCCTCAAAACTATTCTTTTTGCTTTTGTTTGTTTTTGGTTTATTCCTTTGGCTACACCTACTGCTATACTCAAGGAGTATTCCTGGTTCTGTACTCAGGAACCACTCCTGCTGGTACTTGGGGAATCATATGTGGTTCTAGACTACACGTGAGGCAAAGTCCTTACCTTTTGTACTATCTCTATGACCCCAACATTAGTTTTATTTATTTATTTATTTATTTATGGTCACACCTGGCTGTGCTCAGGGCTTACTCCTGGCTCTGCACTCAGGGATCACTATTAGTGGTGCTCTGGAAACCATATGGGCCACCAGGGCTAGAATCTGGGTCAGATGCATGTAAGTCAACATCCTACCTGCTGTATTATCACTCTGGCCCTCCAGAATTATTTTTTACAGTTGGTAAAATTAATACTAAAAATGAATAATAACAATTTGGAACACCAGCATGAGCTGCCAGAAACAACTTTGTTTTGCTGCAACAATTGATATATGCATGAGGAAAAAGCATAGACATAATAATTTGTGTTTTATATTTGGAAGATTAGGAGTGGAGATCAGTTATACGGTTGATCAGTTTTTCTCATTTTGTAAAGGTTCAATATACTTATATACTTCTATAATTATTATAACATATATAATTATATCTGAAAATATAATAAATATATACATAAAACATGTGTTTTTCGAAAACCTCAAGAACTGGATAAATTCCTAGATTCCTATAGCCTCCCAAGGCTGAACCAAGAAGACCTGGAATACCTGAACATACCTGTCACCATCAAAGAAATTGAAACGGTATTAAAAAGTCTCCCCAAGCACAAAAGTCCTGACCCAGATGGATTCACTAGTGAATTCTTCCAAATCTTTAAAGAGGACTTACTGTCAATACTCTTTAAGTTTTTCCATGAAATGGAAATATCAAAAACACTTCTGAACAGTTTCTATGAAGCAAATATCACCTTGATACCAAAAGCAGACAGAGATACCACAAAGAAAGAGAATTACAGGCCGATAACCCTGGTAAACACAGACACAAAGATCCTCAACAAACTGCTGGCAAATAGAATCCAACAACTCATCAAAAAGATCATACACCACAACCAAGTGTGATTCATCCTGGGGATGCAAGGATGGTTTAACATTCGGAAATCAATCAACATAATCCATCATATCAACAAAAGAAAAGATGAAAACCATATGATCATATCAAGAGATGCAGAAAAAGCATTTTACAAGATCCAGCACCCGTTTATGATGAAAACCCTTGCCAAAATGGGTATAGAGGGGGACTTTCCACAATATAGTTAAAGACATCTATCACAAGCCTACAGCTAGCATCATACTCAATGGGGAAAAACTGAGAGCCTTCCCTCTAAGATCAGGGACGAGACAAGGATGCTTACTCTCTCCACTGCTGTTCAATATAGTACTAAGAGTACTTGCAATAGTGGTTAGGCAAGAAAAATATATTAAGGGAATTCAGGTAGGAAAGGATGAAATCAAGCTCTCACTATTTGCAGATGATATACTTAGAGAACCCTAAAACCTCTACCAAGAAACTCCTACAAATAATAGACTTGTATAGTAAAGTTTCAGGCTATAAAATCAATACCCAGAAGTCCATGGCTTTCCTATACTCAAATAGTGAAAGAGAAGAAAGTGACATGAAAAAAAAATCCCATTCACAATTGTACCCTAGAAAATCAAGTACCTAGGAATCAGCTTAACCAAGGAAGTAAAGGACCTGTACAAAG